AAGCAGGTTCAAGAGATGATGCATCAAGATCGGGCCCCAGGGCTCGCCGTCGCACGGGGAGAAGTGACCCGTTCAGCCTATTGATTCGACAATACATAGACTCAGTTTACGCGTGTTAGCCCTAGACTGGTATATATTTACATGTGATCAGGCTATAGAACAATACGGGACCTAAGAGAACCACAACCTAGGCGCTCACTCCAGAGGGCGCATTCTGACAGCAACGACTATCCCGTCGCCAGCCCTTGTACCCTCAACAACATATGTGCCATCGTCTCCGTTAACTGCAAGGCGCGTGTAACGTCAGTCTACGCCATCTCCGTGTGCACCATAAACGAGATGGGACTTACCTACGACACCACCGGGTACATACTCCTCGTCGCCTCGCCCGTCAATGGCTGCGTCAATGAGTGTCTCAATTTTGGCCTCCCGCTCGTCTCCGGATGTGAGTGAGTCAAACACGCTCTGAGAGAATAGTGCCGCTTTGCCAGAGTCAACAGTAAACATCCCAAGCTCTTCCAGATTGTCGTCGTCGATTTCGGACTGCAGCATGTCACCGCTCGATGTCGGCAGTGCATCGTAATCCACCGCGCCTTCTCGATCCCAAATGAACTGCACATGCGAGGATGCGAAGACCGACATGCGCCAAACGCCGGGCTTAACACCTGGGATAGATAATTCCCAGTCGCCATCGTCACCCTTGGCCGACTCGACGTCGCCCGCGAGGAACGTCCCGTCTTGGCCCACCTACAGATTCCCCATGGTCAGTGAACACATCACAAGGGAAGGCGATGATCTCACCTCAACGAGCCTAGGGGCGTCTTCGGTGTTCAAATTTCCGATCCACCTCTGTGCTTTCTCGTACCACACGTTGAACGATTCCCGCTCCTCGTTCCCACCCTCACCTTCACTGCCATCCTTCTGCACGTCCTGCGACTCCCGCTTCACGTCCTCGTCCTCGTCCTCGTCCTCGTCCTCCTTCTCCACCTCCTCCGACACTCGCATATCAACATCCAATATCACAGCGCCAACCCAACCACAGTTTGCGTGTATGACGTTCGCACGGCCAAACCGTCGGTTCAGCTGCCCTTTCAGGTCCAGCACTAGGTTGAACTGCCGGCGCGGAAAAGGCGCACGCAGTGCATCCAGTCGGGCCTGCCCTCGTTGTCGAGCGAGAGACCCCAAGCAACACCCACTGATGTGGGCTTGCTCTTCTTGCTGCCGCGGTCTTTAGAGTACTGTACGTAGCGGCCGAGGAGTGAGCGCGCAGTGTTTACAGTGAGCGCAGTCGGGATAAGGCGGTTCGAAACAGGAACATAGTTCTTCTCGTCATTGGGTAGATAGGCGGTCGGCACGTCGCCTGTCACAGGCAGGTAAAGAAATCGAGTAATGATTTGGGGCTGGAGCATGGGGGATCGAATGCCGGCGCAGGGGATGTGCAAAGTAGGTACTTTGAGATAGTACTCCTTTCCCTTGACCCTGCGGGCGAAGAAGCCGGGCGGCGGCGCGGGCTCAAACCACGAATCAGGCGCCGTGCACCAAGACGGAAGTAAGCGCGCGCGATCCCAGGGTTCGAAATATTTCGAGGGTGTTTCCTGCTCTTCCTTGGCCTGAGCCTCTCCTTCATCGTTGCGCTCATACGAAACCTCGTACTTGTCGCCGATAACGTCGGCGACAGTGCGCGAGTCAAAAGAGTCGAAAGTCGCTCGCCGGCCGGTGTCAAGTAGAAGATCGAAGTGGTAGGCTGGCAGGAAAGGGTGTCTGTATTTTTTGTTGGCGGAGACGCGGAAACGCTGGGCGGCATGCGCAAATGACTCGCTAGCAGAGCATGGAACGCGCTCGGGCTCCCAGCGCTCGGCTCCATCCGTCGCATCGATGAACGTCAGCTCGATAACGTCGACGGCGGCCACAACGGGAGAATACGACCACCACCGCTTCTCGATCTCTGCGATCTTTGCCTCGACGTCTGTCATGGTGGTGGCAGGAGAAGGACGGCCATCCCCAAGTATGTGCATCTGCATCTGCACCGAGATGCCCGAGGTCGAGTGCATATGTCGCACGCATAGGGAAGGGCATCACATTCTAAGTAGGTCGGTGAGGCAAGAAGTGTTGATGGGACAAGACCGGAACGCGAACCAAGCCCGAGATACACGAGGAGGTCCGGCACACGCAGCGGTATTTACATCTCTGACCGAGATAGTCTCCTCAGCCTTGAGTATCAATGTCCAGCATAGGAGCGTCTTGCTCACGCGGACAGGCGTTGTAGGTGATGATGGAGGCAAAGACGGACGTCACGCTCGTCGACATCATGGTTACAAGTCAAGATGTGGCGCGCTCCCGCGCGTCGAAACTTGCCCTCGGTCGCTTCTTGAATCAGACCACGACTATGATTTCTTGAGGTCAAACCGTCTTCGGACTCGCAGTAACTCTACGCACCACCGCTCATAGCAAGTGCGAATGCTTGTCATTGCTGCATGCAGTCGTTTGGTGTTAATTTGTGCCGCATCTTGACTCTTGAGGTCCCACCGGTTTCTGGAGCTCAAGGATACAATACTTATATGCACGTATGGTCGCAGGTGGAGGCATTCACGCCAGAAGTACATCCAGATATATTATTTAGCGGATGAACGATCGCCACTCGAACTATAGAAGGCCTGGAAGCAAGATGAAATTTGAACGGCATATTGAATAAACGAGTGTCTTGTAGTCCGATGATTAGGTAGAACATAGGCGCTGTTTGCTACAGAGTGACAGAGCGCGATAGAAAACAAGGATTACCAGCGGAACATCGTAGGGCCACGAATGGCGTCGAGCAAGATGTCCTTGTAATCGCCTCCAGCTTCCCACATAGCAAAACCGCGAAGACCAAGGTCCTTGATGAACTCGCCCTTGGCCCTCATGGAGCGGGCGTTCTCGTACGAGACCCACACCTCGGAGGTAGCGTTGTATACGGCGGGCTGTATAGAATTTGTCAGTGCAGTTCGCATCTTAGGTATAGAGGTACGCACCGTCTGGCTGCAGTTGTCGTACTCGTACTTGATGCCCCACGCAGGCTCGCCAAACGCGTTCAAGAAGCCAGCCTCAACAAGGCCCCAGATGTCGAACGTGCCACCGGCGGCCTGATCAACGCCGCAGGCATCCGGACCGGACGCATCGTCCCACTTGTCACCGGGCGGCTGGTAGCTAGCGTTGAACGCAGGGTATGCGCTGAGCTTTCCCTTCTTGTCCAATGCGTCCTTCTTCGCAACGGAGAACGAGTGGCCATACGCTGGTACGCCGAGAACGAGCTTATTCGGAGGGATACCGGCGTCGATCCATGCCTGGATGCCGAGCTCGGCTGAGCCCTGGTTGTTGTCCGTAGAACACGAGGAGTATAACGGCGCGTTAGGGCCGGCCGTGTCGCACCAAGAGCCATAGATGTCGTAGTTCATCACGGCGATGTAGTCGAGTACATCGCCGAATGCGGTAACGTTTGTGCTGGCGTCACCGTTTTCGTCGACCCAGGGTAAAAGGGATGAGGCGGCGGTCAGGAAGAGCTTAGAGCCTTGCTTCGTGGCGCGGAGTTCTTGGAGGAAGGATAGGAAGTTGGAGGTGTCGTTAGGGGAGATGGTATTGCACTGTAAGACGATGAGTGCAGATCTTCCCATAGATATAAAAGAAGACGTACGCCAATCCCCTGATTTCCCGGGTATTCCCAACTGTAGCCCATCAGTATAATTCGCATTCAGGAGGAGAACAGGAACGCACTCGAAGTCAAGGCCGTCCAAGTCGTATTCCTCCGCAAACGCGTTCACGGTATCAACGAACGCCGTCCGGTTCTCAGAAGAGCCCACAGCTGTGGAGAACCACAGCGACCCTGACCAGCCCCCGACTGATACGAGAGCCTTCACATCCTACACGCGCAGTATTGTTCAGTCTTCTTGTCGCGCTATGTGAGAAGAGACACTGAACGTACGTGTTCCTTTGCCGTCTTGACGAAGCTTGGCAGGAGATCGGGTTCTGAGCCGTTGAGCGTCAAACCGCCGTCTGCAGTCGTCTCGCTATCCATCGTTCAGTACTAATTCACGCATACACGGGGAAGAACAGGACCCACGCAAAGGAGTAGGTTATATGCGTGTACTTGTCCCAGCTAACAGCCGATAGAGGAAAGCCCTCATTAGCGTGCCAGCCCGCGAACCAACTGGCGGCGACGGGAGTTGACGATTTGTCGTGGTGAGAGAATGGCGAGCGCCATGCAGCGGCCAAGGGAAGGAGAGCCGCGCCGAGAGGAATGAGGGGAAACATGACGAGACTGGCCCGTCATTTTGAGCAGCCCTCGTCCTTTTTATCTTGGAGATCGGGGACGCGCATATCATATAGTGGGTTCATGACCATGAGGATAGCGGCGAGATCGAGCGGATCGCGGGTCTGCAGTGGTTATGATATTTGGAGGGCTTGATGGGACCGGATACCAAGCCGGGACTGCCGTGGGATGTGTGCTGTCGAGGCTGAAGAAGCCTCCGATGGACGCGATCATGGAGGTCCTCCAGTGCGTAGCACTGTGCCGTGCAGCGATCCCCGTGCTACGTTTCCTTATTCGAGTAGGCACTGAGTATCAGGCGTAGCGGGAGCCAAGAGTTTTGCAATATCCCGAAGACGAAGTGAGCATCACTGAAAAAACCGGTCGTAGTATGTCGATCACGCTGGCGTATTGTTCCGCAGATCATTGCTCGCGAGTTCGTGCCGCGCTTTGTGAAGCTCGCTGACAAGAGCGTATGCCCGGAGGCGCCGACGTGTGCACTAAGTAAACTCGGACGTCCAGTTGAACTTGAAGCTATGAGTCTCGACCGATAGGAGCTTAGAGTAGACTTAGGATCGGCTCAGTGACAGAAGCAAGCGTATCACTTGAGCGTCTTCAGGAGATGATCAATGAAGACAACTGTCCATCCAGCCCACCCCAGAGCAGTGGCCCTCTTGCGGCCCTTCTGACTATAATTGAGTCTGGTGATGGCAAACCTCTAGGTAGCGTGGCCGAGTGGTTCAAGGCGTTGGATTTAAGTTTCCTTGAATCCCAATATTCGAAAGAATGCGCGAGTTCGAACCTCGCCGCTACCATGGAACATCACCGACTCCATTTTTTCCCTCTCCGATTTCTGAATATGGCAGTAGTCGAGCGGATGCAAGCACCGCATCGGTGGGTTCATGATGCGCGCGGACAGGGAGTTCGAGTTCGACGCAACGCACAACGGGTTTTGTATTCATACCACCACTTCGACTGTCTAATGTCGCTCGTAGCGCGTCGTATCCCGCGTCTAACGCGTCCTCTAACGCGCCTATCCTCTACTGCCTCTACCTCCCGCCTCGCGTCCACAGTATACACTTCCCCCTCCTCAAGTATACCACCGGACGCATCCACAACTTCGACACCTCTGGATCTTACAGTAAAGCAACGAGAGGCGTTAGATGTAGCGCTGAGAGTCGACCAGGCGGGAGAGATCGCTGCGAATTGGATATATGCGGGGCAGGCCGCTGTGCTTGGGAGGGATAGGAAGTTAGGTGGATTGATTGAGGTCAGTACTCTATCTATGATGTGTGAGGGCGTGTGGCGCCCGCGTATTGCTTTGTTCTGCTACTGGAGATTGACCTTGTTTTACAGGAAATGTGGGAGCAGGAGCGTAAGCACTTGTCCGTGATGGATAAGTTACAGGTTCAGCATCATATACGCCCGACATTGCTTTCGTACGCTACTTCACTTTCGACTTTCACTCTATATATTGTTGCTCACGGTCTTGTTCAGACCCGTGGCGAAGGTGGCAGGATTCGCGCTCGGTGCTACTACGGCGCTTATGGGTAAAGAAGCTGCAATGGCATGTACTGAAGCGGTCGAGACCGTCATTGGGGAGCATTACGATGAGTACGCCTCTCTCATCCTCACTCTGCTCTGCCCGCTACTCACACGGCACACTCTCGCCAGTCAGCTGAAAGAGCTCGAACCTATCACGCACGCCCATCCCTCTTTACCTTTGCTATGCGACATCATCAAAGAGTTCAGAGACGACGAACTCGAACATCTCAATATCGCCGTTGCGAACGATAGTCAGAAAGCGCCGGCTCATGCTTTGTTGAGTAGTGTGGTGGGCGCGGGATGTAAGGTTGCTATCGAGCTGTGTAAGCGGATATAATCCGGAGTGTCGTCGTTGGGGATGGGTCTTGAAGGTCTTGAAGCTTGAGGAGTTCACACAGGAACGAGGAGATGCAGGACGGGCAATGGAATATAGCGTAGTAGCCCTATAATAACATCGAGAATGGGTCTACTCTTCTGTTGGCTCTGCGGCGACGGATGCACCGCGGATGAGCGAGTCGTTCTTCTTGCGCGCAACCATGTTGAACTTGTTCTGTAACAATCAAGTCAAAACGGTGTATCTAGTAAAGGCGCGTGGGGTTAGACGTACGTCTGAGCTGGCTGCGAGCCATAAGAGACCGGCGGGGATGAGGACACCCATGACGAGTATCGGGCGAGCGTTACGCTTCGTTAATTTGAAGTGCGCCCATGCGCCTTCGCGCTGTTGGTTTAAGTTAGCAGATATAGCTTGGGAGCGGGAGAAGCCGGGCGCACCATCGCGTTCCAGCGCTCGAGTGCGGGGTCATCCTGGATATTAATTCAGCATTTGAAGCATGGGCTATGAAGTGGAAGCATGTACGTGTACGGCTGTGAGATAAGTTAGTAGAGCCCAAAGTTAGAATAAAGCGAATTACTGACCGTGTCCCATGGTGGTTGATGTCAAGTCCAGAAATAATCACTTCGGGCTTGACGCGTCTCGCACCTTGCTTCTGTCTCTCACCTTCAACACTCTTCATCATGGCGTACAACCACGGACACGGCGGAAATAACCGCGAATGGGACCGCGGTAAAGAATGGCAACAGGGTCAAGGATACAATGATTGGAACGGCGGTGGTGGTGGGGAGGGATGGGGAAATGAATGGCATGGTGGAGGTGGAGGCGGGGGCAGAAGGGAAAGGGAGTACGAGGACGAGTATGCTGGGGATAGTAAGCGAAGGAAATTTAATGATGGCGTGCGTCTACTACTTTCTGTATATTCAATCGAGGCTTCAACGGGGTTTAATTTTCGTAGGGATACGAACAACAGCAAGGACAAGGACAGTGGGGAGCACATGGCAAGGGCAAGCAGCGCATGGCTCCCTCCGAGCCGTCCAACCACGTCATCTTCCTCGGCCTCGACACTGATTTCACAGAAGCTGATGTGAGAAATATCCTTTCAATTTAATATTTGCGCAACTAAATATATTACTTCTACAGCTCCACGCCTACCTGACGCAACACGGCGCCTCTCTCGAATCCGTCACGATCATCCGCGAACGCAACACAGGCATATAACCCCCTCCTCAGACACCTCCCCTCTCAATACTCACAGTCCGAGTGGTTATCTTTATCTAGGAACATCCAAAGGTTTCGGCTTTGCCGAATTCACAACACTCGAATCCGCACGCGAATTCGTAGACCCGAATTTCCCATTCGTTCATCTCCCCCCACCTCAATCGCACGGCGCATCCGCTTCGCAAGTCTTTTGGCAGTCTATCGAAGTTAATCCGTTGGCGCCTACGGGGGGACGAAGGGTCAAGATTGATTTTAGTCAGAGTGCCAATCCTTCGGATAGGAATGGGACGGGGAATGCGAAGAAGGGACCGGGAAATGATGGGACGAGGGATATTGGGAATGCGGCGGCGCCGGTGTTGTTGTTTAGAGGGTTGGACGTGCTGAGTGGTCCGCAGGCGATTTTACAGGCTATGAAGACTAGCTCGGGACTGCATAGGGAGGGCGCGAGGGGCATGAGGAGGATCGTGCTCGTTAAGGATAGAGGGAGCATGCAGAGTTGGGGCTTTGCGTTTGTTGAGTTTGTTGATACTCAGGTGCGATCTGTTTTGGCGCTGAGTGGGGGTTTTCATTGATGAGTGTTCTGTTGGGGGATAGTGCGCTAGTGCGGTGCTTGCTGCGACTATGAGCCCTCAGATCCATCCCAACGGCTTCCGTATATCGGATAAACCAGTGGCTGCGAGCTTTGCTTTGCCGTATAGCTTTCAACCTATCGAAGATGCCTCCCTACGCGACGAGGTAAGCGTCTATTCCTCATTCTCCCCACTCATCCTCCCTCATAATTTGCGCAGGCCTGTGTACTCGGCACGCCAGCGCTCGGCGCCGTAGACGCGGGCAGTGGCGTTTATGTTCGGTACTGGGACGAAGGCGCCACCGCATCCGTACTTGAGTTCGAAGTTACCGAGCCCATTTCGGCCGAACAAGTGAAAGAGAGTAAAGCCAAAGAGAAGAAGAAGAAAGTCAAGGGTATGTCTCTCTTTTGTGCGTTATCGTGCGGGGTGACTGATGTGGATATGTCTGTAGCACCGGACGCAGATTTGACGCCCCTCGCACCCTCGACTCTCCCGGTATCCGATAAACCCGTGACGCTAAACTTCAGCATGAAAGCTAAGCCCGGCGCATTATCATCTTCTACAGCTCACAAACCTATTGCGTTGAGCATGGGCGACGGCGAAGATGGTGATGGCGAGGAAGAAGAAGAAAAGATCGATCCGAAGGGTACGTCGAAATATGGTCCCTCTTGATTGATTGGGACTCAACAAGGAGTGTATGTAGTTGCTGCGGCGAAAAAGGTCGCGCCGATGATTGCCAGTAAGAGAGTTGCGGGCAATATTAGCAAGTGGAATACGGCGCAGGCGGAGAATCATACGGCACCTGTTCCTGTTCCCGCGACGGCGCCTGTGGTCACGCCTGTGGTCGCGATGCCTAAGGTAGGCCGTCCCCTCGTTTGTTCTATGCTGTTGCTGATTTTGTACTGTAGCCCGCTGCGGTCGCGCCGAAGCCTGCTGCAGCCCCCACGCCTATTGCGCCTGCGACGCCGACTGCAGATGATGCGGACCTGGAGTTCGCGGATCGGACGAGGATGGCATGTCTGCTGTGCTCGCGGCAGTTCAAGAGTCTCGAGCTCGTACGTCGTCACGCGAAGGAGAGCGATTTGCACAAGGTAACTCTATTCCACTCTCATTCCCAGAGTGGTATGGCTCACAATCTCTCCCACCCACAGAAAAACCTAGCCGACGCCACGCTCTGCGCCGCTGCGAGGAAGAAAGTGCAAGCTGTTAATGGAGCGAATAAGAGCGAGGAGAAGAAAGAAGAAGAACGTAAATACCGCGACCGTGCATCCGAGCGAAGGGTGATATACGGTCAACCGGACGTTCCCTTACCCGACCCCTCATCCTCCTCCACACGCCATCCTACCAAACCCGCCACTCAATCTCAATCTCAAGCCTCACCTACGCCCCCGCCACAAGTCAACCCCGGCGAAGATTCGAGTAATATTGGGAATAAGCTTTTGAAAGCTATGGGGTGGAAAGAAGGGACGGGGTTGGGAGTTGAGGGGAATGAGGGGAGGACTGCGCCCGTGCAGGCTGCTGTTTATGCTAGTGGAGCTGGGTTGGGGGCTGCGAAGGGTAGGCTTGTGGAGGATGAGGTTAAGAGGAAGGAGGGGTATGCTGGGTATGTTGAGAGGGTTAGGGACGCGGTGAGTTGTTCTTTTGGGGATGATGTTGGGGAGGATGATACTGATTTGATTATTGGTAGGCTAGGGAGAGATATGAAGGGTAGGGGTGTATGTACGTGTGAAACGATGTTACGGTTTAACGATACTACATATGCCTGTGCTTCATCTTATATGCGTCCTTAAGTCCATTTTGCCATACGTTGATGTACAGTATGCAACTCCCACATTTTCGTGTGCTACTGACCTGGTGACAACTCACGGAGATGCGCATTTGTTCAGTCCCAAACCATACATAGTGGTCCTTCTCGCCGGGCCTTCTTTCCTACACCACGAGGCTGCGGCATGACGGCGTGGTCATGATAGCTGCTCGACAAGCGCCTACACATTTATACAGGCGACTTGTTGCAGTCAACGACCTGTGAGGCTCTTTGGCTCCTCGCTCCTCGTCTCCATGGCGTATCAGATCCATTGGCCAAACAAGTACTTCTTCTACCCCATCGGCAACACATCAGCTGTCTGCCTCACCCGGGATCTCCCTCTGC